ATTGCTGCTACTACTACTACTCCTACTCCTACTCCTACTCCTACTACTACTACTACTACTACTACTACCACTACTACTACTACTACTACTACTACTACTACTATGTTGATGGTTCAATCATGTGTGTCAATGAGGTGATCGAAGTTGCTTGTGGGAACCATGTGCTTATCGAGTGCTTGTGTTCAAGCATGCGTGGCCCCAGAGGCCAACAACCAAAGTTTGTAAGCTCTTTAAAGTTATGCATCGCGACTTACTGTACATTTCTGATCGCAGAAGCATAACCGAACTTCGCAGTTGTAAAGAACGCTGCATCACAGTTTCGTTTGTGAGTGAAAAAGAGCGTCCTTCAATTCGAAAGCCATGAGCCATCCCTGCTCCGCTCTCTGTGATGAACACGTCAGTTGACAGACCCTACCCAGAGCGTGAAGGTTTTCAGGTTATGAGCGCCCAATCCGCCTTGAGCGGTGCGGGGAACGGAGGCCTGGCTACAGACGTTCCAACGTATGGAGGTGTGGACTCAGGTGGAGCCCGAGGACAGCCCTTGGATGTTGGAATGTCGGAGAATCGAACTATGGCTGAAGGCCATGGCTTGCCGAATGGCGTGGCGGCGGCGGGGTCCAGTAGGGACGACCAACTACCCCATGTTCCTGCAGGCAGGTCTGGTACGACGGGTTCGCGATCCATGGAGCAAGCGAGTGTATCTGAAGTGAGACAGGGGAGACTGGGCGCGGAGCAATCAACTGGACCGACATCAGCGGTGGTTGGTCCTGCTGGTCAACCTGCGACAGTGGAGATGGGTGCAGGAACGTTTTCCGGACCGGGCGCGAACTTGGAATCCGGACCTGGCGCGAATGCACGGAGGTTTCAGGGTGAGGTGTTTGGGTTGAGGAACAGACAAAGCACACAGCCAGCAGGGCAACCTCAACATCACGACATAGCCACCCCGCCTCAGCAGCCAAGCGTTCCAGCACAGCAGCCTCCTGATCTTCAGCAGCAGCGGCCAGTGCAGCAGACTTTGAGCCAGACACCTGCACAAAACCCTCAACCTTCAACGCAGAGATCCTTGAATCAACCACCTGTACAAGGACAAACCCGTACTGTACCAGGACCTATGATGGGAGCAGCGGGAGCTTTTGATGATCAAGGATCTATGCTGGCCCAACGTGCTGCTGTGGTGACAGCACTGCAAGCCAGGGCAGCCCGGGTGATTGGATCAACTGCTGTGGGAGAAGGGGATGTTGTGGCTACCTTCGAGACTTCTGAGACTACTGAGAACCAGGGTGACCATATGGTTTGGTTTTCCAGGATGAGGGGATTGATTCAGCGAGGCCTTGAACCTGTGTTTGGGAGACTTGGTGCCTTACCTGCAGCCTCGCCTACTTCGTGGTACTCCCAGTCCCCTACCTGGTCAATCACTACACCAGTGTTCCCTGCTCCTGATCAACAACAACCACAAGGAGGTAGCGAACCACTTCAACGTCCTCTACATCAACCCTCAACGGAACCACGAGGCGATCAATCATCGACCGGCAGCATTCAGCCGGAGGTTGTGCAGGAGGAAGTGAAGAAAGCAGTGCAGCTAGCAATGCAACAACGGGACAGTCGTGTGGCTGACCTACAGAATGAGAACCAGGAGCTGAAGCAGCTCCTGATGGCGATGATCGACGCCAGCACCGCGACCGGGGGAGTCGGTGGAGACTCGGCCTTGCCCTTGCAAGACGATTCTGGCAGCAGGACGATGATGCGGAATGCTGAACCGGACCGTGAGGCAGGACAGAGAGTCTTCGGGCAAGGGGAACCTGGTGCAGATGCTGGTAATCAAGGCCGCCCTCTACGTTCTCCTCCTGGGCTACCTGTACCTGACTGTCGTGATGCAGGTGGTGCTTCGGGGCGGCGAGATGGGCATCAACTCCCTGAACCCAGAGCCCGCAGTCCTCCAACGGCAAGGATCGATGGTGGCGGCCACGTAGATGCTGCAGGAAAGCCGGAGGCTGCCGTTGGACCTGAGCAGCAAGGGCAAGTTGGGACTGAGAGTATAGGGGAACGGGAGCGTGAGAAGATGAGTTCGACGAGCCCCTTGGACCTGTTGGCACAAGGAATTCAGCAACTTCAACAGCTACAGCTACAGCTACGAAGAGATGGACACGACCCAGAGTTGCTGAAAGGCTCCTTGGACTTGCCGAAGCTGCCCGAGCCCTACCAGGATGCGAGTGCTGTTGCTTTTCTGGAGTGGATCTACGAGGCAGGGCAGGTCATCGGCTCGATCACGGATCGAGCAGCTTCATGGTGCGCGGCGAACGTCGACCTGGCGGTGGAGGCGTACCATCGTTTCCAAACTGAGACACCCCTGAAGAGGCTTGCGATCCAGGTCGGCGAGGACAGCAACGTGGATGGCGACAAATGGTCGCGACTGGAGAAGCGTGTGATGGTCTTACTCCTCACTTCTATGACGGCAACAATCAAGGCCGAGGTCACCATGCTGAGAATCAGCCGCGTGAAGGACTGTTTGTTCAAGCTGTACACGGTCTTTGCCCCAGGTTAAGCCAGCGAACGAGCAAGCCTGATTAAGCAGCTGGAGTACATCCAGCCTCAGGGGAACATCGTGGAGGCCATCGCCTCCCTCCGCAGGTGGAAGAAGCAGCTGGGTCGGGCGGCTGAGATGGGCATATCGCTGCCCGATGGAAGCGTCCTCCTTATGGCTTTGGAGGGAGCGACAAAGCAGATCACGGAGGGCAACAAGGACATCAGCTTCAAGTTGAACATGGCCAAGAACGAGTTGGGTTTGCCGCACAAACCCACGCTGTCCAATGTCCTCACGTACTCGGACCACATCGCCGCGGAGCTGCAGCAGGTGATCCCCTTCAACAAGGAGCAGACGGCTAAGCTGAAGGCAGCGAGTGCGGATTCGGGATCGCCCACTTCGTCAGCGCCCTCACCTTCCGGAAAGGGTCAAGGGCAGAAGCAGCCTTGCAAGTTCTGGCTTACAGATGAAGGGTGCTGGCGTGGAGCAAATTGCAAATATGGACATGTTTTCCAGTCCAAGGAGGACAAGAGTGACAAGAGGGCCCGATGCTGGTCTTGTGGGGCCACAACACATCGCCAGGCAGATTGCCCCACGAGGCGTGGGGGCAAACGGGGGAAGAAGGATTCCGGAGGAGGAGGGCCCAAGACTGGACCAACAACCTCGACTACACCTTCGGGTACGGCACAGATGCAACCCTGAACAACCCCCAGCCCTCAACAGCAACCTCGGCATCTACAGCTACGGCAACGAGTGTGACTTTGGAGCACCCTACGCAACAGGTCCCAGCGTCTACGACCTCTACCACCTTCCCAACCTCAACAGGAGCCTCTGGTTCCCAACCACAACAAGCTTCGAGTGGATCGTCGTCGGCAGCTTCCACAATCTTGTTTCCAGAATCTACGGCCAGTGGCGAGGTCAGGGAGCTGGCGGAGCAGTTCTTGGCGAAGATCAAGAGATTGGCGCCAGTGCAGGCTCAGACCGACGATGCGGTGATGGACCTGGAGCTTCTACTGAGGTCGCAGGGTTTCGAGCAGCATCAGGGCATGGCCTTACTTGACAGCGGGGCATCTCATGCCTACCGGGCCCCGCGCACAGTGGAGGAGACGAGGACGGCCAAGCGTGTCCGAGTGCAGTTGGCTGATGGTCGTGCGGTGTATCCACGGCAAAACCCTGGAGGCACTTTGTTGTCGGAGGAGGAGGGTGGTGGCACGATCCTCCCGCTGGGCAGCCTCGTGGAATCCCTGGGCTGCCGCCTCGAATGGACACGCCGCCACGGATTGCGAGTACATCATCCTCGGTATGGCCTTCTTCCCACCAAGCTCATCGGCAACACCCCAGTGCTTCGTGAGACCGAAGCCCTTCAGCTAATAGCTGACATGGAACAAGTGGAAATGGACAAGCTCGAGGCCAACGTGACGGAGGGAGCGATCCGAACGCTCTCGGTGGACGAGGCTCCAGCGACGTGGTTGGATCACCTGGAGGAGTTTATCAGCAAGGGAGACAGAGCGTGCCTGAGGAGAATGCTCCTGGACGAGGAGTCCCCGGTGAAGGCCCTATCTGAGCAGGAGGTGACTTCCCTCCTGGGTGTGGAAGAGCGACTACTCTTGTCTGATGATGCGGGTGCTCACTACTTGAAGGCGCTCCCTGTCAATCGGGCTATGCGAAAACGTCTCCTACGGACTCGATGGGTGGTTCACCTGTACAATGGTGACGAACAAGGGCCAGAGTTTGCTCGGGCGGAGTCTGACGATGTGACGGTGATCCGTATGGATATGAAGGACTCCAAGGCCTATGATCTTCGGTTTGCCAATGGCGCCGTGCGTGCTCTTATGTGGGCGGCAGCAAGGGGCCAAATCGAGGCGGTACTGGGAGCGCCTCCTCGAGGAACAGAGCACAGCTCGCTCCTCTTCAAGCGGATGATGTTGCTGTGGTTGGTGGCCAATTCTGGTGCGGCCCTCGATGCCTTGTGTGCTCCTTCTTTCACCCTGGAGCTGCCGACCTGGCATCACTTCTGGACCAGCTCAGCATGGCTTTCCTTCAGGGACGAGCTGAGGTTTCTCAAGTACCACTCGGTGGCTTGTCAGGGCAACTTGTACTTCTTGGCGTCTTCTCTGGAGATGTCTGATGGCCTTGATGTGGATGAAGCTATGATCCCCACCTTGAACTATGCCACTCCAGCTTCTTCCTGGCCTTCAACCTTCAAACTTGCCTGGCCTTGCTCAACTGGAGGCGAAGCGACATGAGGCGCCACGAGGCCGTGTTGAGCAAGCTGATTGGGAATCGGGAGTTGAATGCAAAGGACTTGGAGTATTGGCAGCGGCACATCAATAACAACCACCTCCCCTACGACCGTCGATGCAAAACCTGGATGGCAAGAAGTACCGGTACCTCTTGGTTGGAGCCTACTCCCACCCTAAGCTCGACCTTCCCAAGGATGTTCCCTTTCCAGACGAAGAAGAGGAAGAGATTGAGCCAGAGCTTGACCCGTTCGAGGAAGATGAAGGGGTTGCAGTTCCGGATGAGGAGGAGGACGACGAGCAGAAGGAGATGAACAAGAGGTTCCAGAAGATCTATGAGGGCATCGGCGACAACCTCGAGTACCAGACGCTCCACTTCGCGGTCCCTATGAACACCCGGACGTCCAAGGAAGTCAGATCAAAAATCCAGCAGATTTACTTGCAGCTCCGACAACATGGACTACCATTGGTGCGAATCCACTCCGACCGAGGACTGGAGCTCAAGGCCAAGGAAACAAGGGCGTGGATGGCGGATCGTGACATCCTGGCGACAACGGGTGAGAGCCAACAGCCCCAACAAAATGGTCGTGCTGAAGCCCTAGTTCGGACAATCAAGAGGAGGGTGAAAACTTTGTTGCGTTCGGCGGGCCTCCCTATGGCGTGCTGGCCCTCAGCGGCGGAGTTTTCAGCAAGAAGGCAACGTGATTTAGCCCTTGGGAACTATGAGGACAAGGACCTCCCCTACGGAGCCCCCACGCATGTGAAGTACAAGCGTTTTGGAGAAGGAGGCCGCTACGACCTTTTGGAGCGATGGAAGGAGGGGGTCTTTGTGGGCTATTCCAATGATGTGGCGCGAGGGAGGGTTGTGAGACACAGCGATGGTTCGTACACAACCTCTGTTCACATCCGCCCCTACCTCATCGACACCGAGGACCTGGTTGAGTTTGGACCTCACGAGGTGGAAGTTCCAGTCCCGGAGAGGCGCGTTCGCGGGAAGGCCTCGGTCGCTCAGCTTCTACAGGAGCCTATCAATGACCTGGACAGAGCAGCGAAGAAGTACATTGATGAGGGCAAGTACGATTTGGGAACAGTCGTGGAGCTGTGGGAGATGCTGAGATCAAAGGCCCGGCGAACTACCCGAAACGCCCAAGGCGAAGGACTTCAATGGATGGTAGGCCAGTACACGCATGGAGGCCAATGTGGTGTGGTCAATGATACCAATGCCTATCCGTTTGTGACCCTCTACCTAGTGAAGGCCTTCAAGGAGCTGACGGGCGTCAACGATTTTACCTCGCTTCTCATCACTGAGGATGTGGGAATGAAATGCCACCGGGATGTTCACAACTATGTTGGACGATCCAACGCGTTACTTCCTCTACTACCATGTGAAGATGGAGGTGGCGTATGGCTGGAAGCAGACCCCGGATCCTACAGCTTCCAAGATGAGTGGCGACAACTACCGAACCGGGGATGGAGACGAGGGCGGGTACACGAACTACAACCTGGAGTTCCTGTCGTTATCAATCCTCGAAGATACCATGCAACCGAGCCCTGGAGAGGACGACGGCTGGTGATGACCACATATACTCCAAGGACTTCTTCCATGAGACAGCCTACCTACGAGGCCCTAAGGGAATACGGGTTTGAACCACCTCCTCTACCACCTCAAGTGCCTGAACATCTACAGCAAGCTGTCCTCCGGATGCTGAGTGTGGACCCTGTGAAGGACCTGGACATCAACGAGGCGGTCCTCTTCTTGGTGAAGGAAGCCGAGGGGGAGAAGCGCCAACGAACTCAGCAGATCAGTGAGGAACTTCCACAACTACAAGAGGATGTCTTGGGGCGCCTGAAGGAGAGGAGGGAATGGTTACAAGAGTTCTTGGCTGAGGAGGAGATCCTGGCGGAGGAGATTGGTGTTGTGGGAGAATCCATCAACGAGGAGATCATGGGAATCAACGACGTGGTCAGGGACTTGATCCAAGATGTGGAGAAGCAGGTCACGGAGGTGGAAAAGAAATGCGAGAGCCTCTATCTAAGGGTGGCCAATGTTGATGATGACAAGGAAATTGGAGACATTGAAGAGTACCTGGCCAACCTCAAGGAGGACCTTGAAGTGACGTTGGATGTCCCGCTCGATCAGGTCAAGCACAATTTGGACCGGTGGGTGGAGCCGATGGCCAAGGAGCTAGCGAACCTCGAAGAGAAGACGGGTGCTATCGAGCGATGGTCAATTGCCGAGGCCCGCAAGTTGGAGAGCGAAGGGCGACTTATCCTTATTCCAGGAAAGGTCGTCTGCACAGTTAAGCCCCCAGCGCCTCTGGGTCCAGGTTCCCCGCCGAGCACAACGCCGCGCTGGAAACGAAAGGCTCGGGTGGTGATTTGTGGAAACCTGGCGGGCCAATCGCACGACCCGAACGACCTCTTCGCGGCGGGAGCAAGTGTGGAAGGCTTGCGCTTGGCACTGGCCATTGCGGTGTCTATGGGCTGGTGCGTTGCTTCGACGGATGTTTCTGCCGCCTTCCTACAGGCGAAATGGCCACGAGACAGGCCCACCTATGGTGTTCTGCCGCCGAAGGTTCTTCAGCAAGCTGGACTAGTTGAACATGGCGTGGTGTTCATTGTCCGAAGGGCGTTATATGGTTTGCGGGCAAGCCCCGCCCTGTGGGCGGCACATCGGACCGAGGTCCTCGAGAAGCTCTCGGTGGATACCAAGGAGGGAAGAGTCTTCTTGAAGCAGATGACCACGGACAGTGAGTTGTGGATGATCTTGCTGGATCCTACCAAGGGTGCCAAACGTCTTGCGAGGCATCCTTGTGACCTATGTGGATGATCTACTCTACCTGGCGGCAAGGGACATTATCACCAGCCTCCACGAGAAGATTGGCTCTATTTGGCCGTGTTCCGAACTGGAGTTTGCAACGGAGGGTCTGAGGTACCTTGGCATGGAACTGGTTCAGGAGGAGTCTACAGTGACCTTGTCTCAGGAAGCCTACGTGGACAATTTGGTCAGATTACATGGGCTGGACCCGCTGTCCAAGGCAGGCTTACCATGCCCAAAGGAATGGCTTCAAGACGAGGACTTCAACGACGTCGCCGAGAACTTCAATGAGGAAGAGCTAAAGCGAGCACAGAAGGTCACAGGCGAATGCCTGTGGCTGGCTTACCGCACTCGCCCCGACATCCTGTTCGTGACAAACTACCTGGCCGCGATGACCTCTAGGAAGCCAGTGAAGGTGTACAATGTGGGTCTCAAGGTGATCTCCTACCTGAACGCGACGGCCGGGCTGAAGTTGAAGGTTGCATGCAGCCACAGCAGAACAAACGCAGTCCGCCGCAGCAGAACAAACGCAGTCCACAGCAGAACAGACGCAGTCCACAGCAGAACAGACGCAGTCCACAGCAGAACAGACGCAGTCCACAGCAGAACAGTCCGTGGGGTCACAAGTGAAGGGGCATTTAGCAGGTTTCAGGGTTCCTCTGGCTGGGTATTGCGATGCGTCCTTTGCCCCTTACGGAGGGAAAAGCTATGGCTGCTCGATGACGATGCTGGATCGGACCCCGGTGTCGTGGAAAGCCGGGGAACAACAGCTAGTGGCTATGTCCGTCTGCGAGGCGGAACTCCTAGAAGGATCGAACTGCGCGCTGCTTCTCGAATCTACGATGTCCATGGTCCGGGAGCTCCTACCCGACGGTGTCCCACCAAGGATGTACATCGACAATCAGGCAGCAGGCAACCTCCTGAACGGATCTACTGGAAGTTGGAGAACCCGCCATTTGCGAATTCGTCATTCGTATGTTCTGGACAGGGTGAAGGCTGGACATGTGATTGTGGAACACATCGCGGGAGAAGATCAGCCAGCAGACCTTCCGACGAAGATGCATTCGAAGGCAAGGTTGATCCACCTGCTTGAAGCTTGGGGCATGGTGGGAATCCCTGAGCTGGATGCGAGGGTAACCCTGAAGGGACTGAAGTTGGGTTGCGTATTCCTTCTTCTGCTGGCCATTCAATCATTGGCCGTGGAGGCAGCAAAGGATCCGTTGCCAGCAACAGGAACTATGGAACTGTTTTTGATGTTGATGATGACTTGTGTTTCTGCAGTGGCTCTGTGGGAACTGGGGAAGGCCGTTGGCAATCTTTTGGTTCCATGGTTCTGTGGAACGAGGCGCACAAGAAAGATACGCAAGCTCCGAGAGCTTGCACGGGTCGCTGCTGAAGCGGAAGTGGAGAGATGGGTAGAGAGCGATGACTTGCCCTCTACGGAACGGATTGTTCAATCTGTCAGGAGGAGAATTACTATGAACTCGGAGGAGAGGCAACGTGCCTCTTCATCAACGAGACCAAGGTCACCTACCACGCCTACGAGAGAGAGGTCTACAACGCCTACAACAAGTTCGCGGGCACCAGTGCCCACTGGGCAACAGGAGGCAGCCGCCCCCCGTACGCCGGAGGTGCGACCCCCGATGAACACGAGTGGATCAAGGACGAGCTTGTTTGGGGAACTACGGCCACCTACACCTCCGAGACCAGATAGTCCAGATCAGGGAGGGCAGTTCGAACGGGACAGGGTCGTCAAGGACACCCTGGGCTTGATGACCGTGCAGAACCTGAAGGATGGACTTACAGCGGAGGGATTGCCTACCTCAGGCATAAAGTGTGACCTAGTCCGGCGACTGGGTGCAAGACTTGGGGACGAGCCACCCCCAAGTCACCTTCCTACAACACGGCAACTCCGATACGTCCTCTACACTTGGCGCCACAAGCACTTGGCTGGTAGAACCCAGCTGATGTGGATTCACTTGGCTACCCGATCAGCTACTTCAGAATGGCTGGCGAGATGGAATCCTTCCTGACGGAGAGCACTTCTGGCATGTGGCAACGGCCGCGGGCCTATGCCAAGGAGGAGTGTTGATGGTTCAATCATGTGTGTCAATGAGGTGATCGAAGTTGCTTGTGGGAACCATGTGCTTCTCGAGTGCTTGTGTTCAAGCATGCGTGACCCCAGAGGCCAACAACCAAAGTTTGCAAGCTCTTTAAAGTTATGCATCGCGATTTACTGTACATTTCTGATCGCAGAAGCATAACCGAACTTCGCAGTTGTAAAGAACGCTGCATCACAGTTTCGTTTGTGAGTGAAAAAGAGCGTCCTTCAATTCGAAAGCCATGAGCCATCCCTGCTTCCGCTCTCTGTGATGAACACGTCAGTTGACAGACCCTACCCAGAGCGTGAAGGTTTTCATACTACTACTACTACTACTACTACTACTACTACTACTACTACTCTACTACCAGCCACCCCCGCCCCCTACCAAC